TCCCTCCTCCCCCCTTTTTCAATTTTTCGTTGTTGGGCAAACTATCCCTTTAAGGCTGACTTTGGCCACATTGCTAAGGCAAAAGCCATTGCTGAGGTGCTTTACTCAAAATATTGTATATTTTGTTATGACGTAAAAAAAAAAAAAAAAAGATTATTGGATTTATGTTTTACAAGAAAATACTTTTTTGGCATTTTATGTAATTAATGTGAAATTTACTAACAATTTCTAAATGATCATTTTTTTCTATGCCAATTTTTTTTTCTTCAAACATTTGTTTTCATACATCAGTTAAAAAGAGTTCATTAATATATATATATATATATATATATATCCTTATAAATATCAGACACAGCCCTAGTGAAAGATAAATATACTCAAATGTATTTGTAATATTTCATGCTAAGTATACTACAAATACATTTACATATTTATGTACTTAATGAAAATTTTACCTGCAATTGTACTTTTGGTATACTAAACTGGTATACTTAAAGTCAAATTGGAACAACTAATTTTGTGCTTAATGCACTTTAATTGTGCATAAATAGTGAAGAAGTCCAACTAAAGATATACCGAAGTATATTTGATTGCGCTAAAATGGAAATATTGCAAGTATACTTTAGGTACACTTTAATTATCTTGCATTTAAAGGCCGATATTATTAAAAAATCATACAATCCTCATCAATAGTGACATTAAAACACATTTCAGGCTTATTATCAAGAAATATTGTGCACAAGTAGTACTACAAATAATGTTTCATTATAATTTTTATATCAGTGGTATGTCAGTAAATATGATAATAGATTTGAACTATACCAAGTATGAAATAAATGTATTTTAAATGTATTACTTTTTCACTAGGGAGCCTATGACAACAGACAATCATTTTTAATTGCACATTGCCTTTTCGGTCTGCTCATACATATTCTTTAGATAGCAAGACCTCAGGATCAGAATAACCAAGCTGTACACGTCTCTATAACACTATTTCAACATGTGGTAAATTAACACATCTAAGTTGACAAATGGCATTAGCTTCATAAATAGTGTTCAGCTGTTCTGCTGAAACTTTGACCCTGAACCTGGACTAGCACTCATAATTCTTTATTATTTTTGAACATCAAAAAAAAGTGTAATCATTTATTGTGTTTTTTATTATTATAGGGTCCAGGAAAGGCTGGCACCAAGCGGGCACTAGACTGCGGCTGTGGAATCGGGAGGGTGTCTAAAGGAGTTCTGTTTCCTGTGTTTGAATCCATGGAGATGCTTGACATGATGGAAGAGTTCATCCTCCACGCTCATGAGGTTTACCTCGGAGATTACGCAGACCGAGTGGAGGCCTACTACCTTTACAATCTGCAGGAATTCAGCCCACTTACAAAGAGATACGATGTCATCTGGCTGCAGTGGGTTGCCTGTGAGTGGATGGATGGTTTTCATGGATTATTTTATGTTATGTAACATATATTTTACAGTAATGTTTTGTCTGCAATTACTATTTTAATTTGACCTGTGTTTTCTGCCCACCTACATTTGCTTATTTTAGTAGGTCCAGTCTATCTTTGCCCATTTGCTGTAATGAGAGCAGCTGAATGCTAGTCAGAGTCTTTTGTTTCAGTATACAGTTTCATCTCCCTCACTGCAGTCTGTGTACATTTGACACAGACGGCATAGATATCTATATGAAACTGCTTAAAACCATATAAAGATTTTTTAAGACCTAAGTGACTCGACAAGTAGTTATACAAAATGTAAAGAATTCTGGACTTCATGCAGCTGTTGCTCAGCTTTACATAAACAGTATCTGCTAAATGAGTTTTGGACTGTGGACATTTTGAAGTTTACACACTCTCTTTTTGTCAAGAATTACATGATTCATCAACTATTTTACATTTCTCAGGTCATCTTACTGATAAGGACCTGATGGAGTTTTTAATGCGTGCTAAGCAGAGCCTGAGGCCCAACGGTGTGATCTTCATTAAGGATAACATGGCGCGGCAGGGATGCAAGCTGGACCCCATTGACAGCAGCATCATTCGCCACCTGGACATCATGAAGAACATCATTCAGACAGCAGGCCTCACCATACTGGACGTGGAAAAGCAGGAAGGCTTTCCTGAGGCTATCGTGCCTGTATGGATGATCGCCATGCGCTAAAGGAAATAATTTTTTTAGATGGATATGTTGTAAATGCACTTATGTATAGGACATATTATAAAAGCATACAAATTAAAAAAAAATTTATTCCATTTACCAGCTTATATGTGACCCTGGACCACAAAACCAGTCTTAAGTCACTGGGGTATATTTGTAGCAATAGCCAAAAATACATTGTATAGGTCAAAATTATAGATTTTTTTTATATGCCAAACATCATTAGGATATTAAGCAAAGATCATGCTCCATGAAGATATTTTGTAAATTTCCTACTGTAAATATATTAAAACTTAATTTTTGATTAGTAATATGCATTGCTAAGAACTTCATTTGGACAACTTTAAAGGTGATTTTCTCAATATTTGTTTTTTTTTGCACCCTCAGATTCCAGATTTTCAAATAGTTGTATCTCGGCCAAATATTGTCCTATCCTAACAAACTGTACATCAATGGAAAGCATATTTATTCAGCTTTCATAGAATGTATAAATCTCAATTTTGTAAAATTTAACCTTATGACTGGTTTTGTGGTCCAGGGTCACATATGTCAAACTGTATAATTTCAATGTATGGAAATCTGTGGTTCCAGTAACCATCCAGTTTCCATCTTTCCAGTAACTTTTGCAAAATATATAATTTCCATTTTTGTTGAAATGGAACAGAAAGATGTATATAATTGTATCGCCCATTTAAAAAGATTTAGTATTTTGCACATTTATTGAAGTATCATAAAGTAAAATAATTTAGTTATTTATTTTTTACAAGAAAATAATGCTGTTGTCTATGTCTAATGTAACTGACAGAATTAAGTATGTTGCCGCCATTGTGTCATTTTTTTGTTTTTTAGAGTACAGAAATATTAATACATTTTTAAAAACTGTATAAGTGCCATTTCTTGTTTTTACAACAATACATCATAAAGCAATAAGTCATTGAACCACATTAGTGAACATTTTTCAGAGACATTGGTCATGATGTCTCTCACATGCTTTAAGTTGTGGGAGAATTATGTCCTTAAAACAACCATGCTTTCATTATTTTTACTGGTAAAATGGGCAAAATATAAAATGACTTAGAGTTCTAGGACCTTTTAGCTTGCTTAAAAAGATATGATAATGGGCATTAGTTGGATATTTCCTTGAAGTATTCTTGGTGTCTTTGAAAGCAGAACTTCTCTTCACATATTTAAAGAACTGAGGGATAAATAATGTCAACAAGTTCAAAACTTCATTGTATTCCCCAAACTATGAAAAACCACACTGTTTAGGTAAATGGCTCTCAGATGGTGTCTTTGTAGAGAGGAAGGGAATTATCCCTGGTTTTGACAGACTACTCTTTTGTATCTGCCTTGGGCTCTGTCCAAATCTGTCAGAACGTGTCTGCATACAGAGCATCAGCAAGTCACCTCAAATATTCAGCACATAAGCCTCACAACGATGTCTTGAGCAGTGCAGTGTAAAAATTCAAGCAGGTCCTTTTCCCTGTGAATAGGCGGTTTGTCAAGAAAAAAAGTGAAAACAGTCACAGCACGCGATGCAGTCTGCCTGTTATGTTTTGGAGTGATCTACGCTGGTTCTTTACCAAGCGAATTCCTCGCACTCATGGGATTTTGCAAAGACATTTTTCAAAGTTCAAAACACCCTCAGGCTGCAGTCGTATTTCTTTCATGTAAATAGCAGCCAAATGTCTATTCGCCTACTCAGAAATGGTTAGCGTACCTGGCAGTTTCTGCTATCAAGTCTAATCTTTCTTGTTTCCTTCACAAGCAGTCTGGCAGCTAATGGTCTGTATTAACAGAAATAACATTAATAAATTTGGTCATATTAGAGCTGAATTGGGCCAAGCTCCAGGCACAGAGAGTCAAACATAACATTGACAGACAACTGGGAGTGTTGCACTGACACAAGTAATTATCGACAAATGATCGTGCCTAGAGCTGGCAGTGGACAGCGACATCAAATTTCAGGTTTATTTAACAATTATTTCTCATTTTTCAAACAGGTAAATGCTCATTTGTGGTGTCAAAGTTTATGCAAGTTGCTTCAAATCTCATTTCAATCGAATTTAATAAGAATTTATGCCTTTCGTAACTAGACTTTAACCTCAAAGTCTTATAACTAGGCTTGATACCAATAAAATTGGTCCTCGGGGTTTTGAAATGTGATACAATCGATTGACATATTATGGTTTGGCATTGAGAAAAAAAATGCATTTAAATCTCAAAATATTCACTTTAAATCATTATGAAGGATCGTGATGATTTGGGGCTGGTCTCTGCCAGGAGAGTGACAGAGTTACAACCATAAACGTTCACAGCGTGTTGTCTGGTACGGGCTCTCGACCTTATTCTACATGTCAGCTCAAAGGCCAGAGCTCAGTTACACGTACTTTTTATAGGCCATGCTGATATTCAATAGCTTATTCAGATATGCACTGCCCCCTATCATGTACTGCTGATTACATTAATTTGATCTCCAAAATGTTCAAACTCTCACAAATTACATCAACATGATGGATTTAAATGTAATATAGCTAGTATTTTAAGGTTTCTAGTAGGACAAACAGAGATAAGTAGAATTTGTAGATTCCCCCCAAAACTGTGCAAACACTGTCGCTGCATACCAAACAGGATCAATTTGCCTGCAAAGGGCACTTCGGAATAAGAACAATCATAGCCACTATAATGAAGGGCCTTTCCAAACCAAAGTGCTCAATTTCAAAGGGTCTTTCGGAATGAGGGATTTTAAAGGGTACAACTGATAAACACTTTTGATACAATTCTTTGCAAAGGTTTCATTTGTGACAGATGATGGAAGATGACACAGAAGTGCATTTTAAGGAACAGTTTTTTGGTTCTCTACACCCTCTGTCAAAGCTTTGACCCTCTGTTGAAGCATGCAACATTGGCTCAACCAATGGCATATGTTTGGGGCGGGGCTAACAGGTAGGGCGACCAATGGGGAATATTTTGGAAATCTGATTAAAATCTGGATTGTAAAACAGGGTTGGTACCCCAAACTGTGGTAATTTATTTTTGCACATTTAGTGAATTTAATATTATTACTTTTTTGAACTGTGCTTTTATTATTCCACTGACAGTCATTGTAAATAATTTTTGTAAAGATTTAGACATCTAAGATTACCATCATAGTGAGTAGAAAGAAGATACAGCATAGACCCTAGTCAGGTTAGACACCATATTGAATTTGTGAATGAATTTTCCTATTTTCCTAAACAATCGGAATGTCGGTATGTTGCTAAACACACGCACACACACACACACACACACACACACACACACATACATACAGTATATAACAATAAAAAATAACGTTAACAAACTAAAATAACTAGAAAATATGAAATATTTTTATTTGCTTGCTTCCATGTCATGTGACCATGACATTGACATCAGAGAACATGTGAATGTTTAATTAAATTATTAAAATATTCAAAATTATTATTTTTTAAATATTAATATTAAATATTTTAGATTAAAGGGGTTCAGCTGACAAAAAAAAAGTTTGGCAATCCCTGTTAAAGATCATCAGAAATTTGAAATGGATGTTCACATCACCATAATGCTTCAGAATTATCTGGTTCCTCAATGCGGTCAGACTGGTGCTATTAAGGAGAATGCATTTCACCACAGTCACCTTAAAATGTCAGCCGCAAACCACGGCTGCCTCATCAATGATCATGTGACCCTGTTTGGCCTGGCCTGATGTGGTTGATTGGTCGCTGAGGTCAGACATTTGTCCTTGTGACTGGATTGGGCTTTTACAGTGTGGGGGACCACACTGGCACAAACAGTAAACATGGTTGCTTTTAGATTTTATGCCTTTTTCCTAATTAGCACAGCCTTAGCTACTAGCCTGACTAGTAACATGTGTTAGTTCTGCCACAACTAAGCCAGAAGCTTGTTTCGTATATGTTATATCCTAGTTTAGTTTGAGGAAAACATCACTATTTCACTTCTTTGCAGGGTCTTCCAGCTAAATTAGATCACAAAGAAGAGAAGGAAATTATATGTGTAACCCTATTAACTAACTCAAGCTAATTAGCTACAGCTAGCACCTAATTTAATGACGTTGTACAAAGTTTAATTGCAAACCCACCCAATTAGATTCAAAGGAGCGGGTAACAACACAATCCGTCTCTTGTAATCTGTTGGTTTTACTGTTTGTAAAAAAACTTGTACAATCACCTTGTAGGCATTTTCTTTTCCTCTCAGGCTTTGGAAGAATCATTGCTCATGCTGGTTTCAATTCACTAACCTTTCAGATTACACAATAATGAGCCAAAATAACTCTCACATGCACACTGAGCCTGCCTGAACCATTTTCCTCCAAAGCTATTTAGGTTCATGATTCACTATTGGTTTCCACAGCAAGGACAGGGGGGGGGTTTGTTGTTGAGAACAGTTTCTTCCTTTTCAGATTGTTTTGTGGTGAACTACATGGTATTGCATCTTGGCTCGTGAGAACAGATCACCATGAGAGAAAGTAAGTAAGTAAACAAAATATAGAGAAAGCCTGAGAGAGCCATTAAATCTAACAGGACCAAAAAAGGGTGGATGTAGCGGCAGGTATTTCCTGCTTCTTGATCTTTTGGGGCTGAGCTCATTTTTTTTCCAATGGGGGTTCAGGCTTGGTTTCTATAATAACTTGTTGGATTATGCCAACAGTCTATTATTCATTTTTCTTTGGGAGGAAAACAGTTCGGAGGAAAAAAAGTGGCTGGAAGTATGGTGATCAAAATGTTTAGAATGGAAATTAATTTTGGATGTATACATTTAAATTCAATGTTATTTTTCTGGTTAAGAAATTCCTGTGATGTGTATGGATACGCTTACATTTGCCACAGTAAAATAGTGAAAAAAACAGGATGGTTTCAAAGAATAATTATTTAAAGAAGGATTGTTTGATGAATACAAAGTTCTAAAGAACAGCATTTATTTGAAACAGAAATCTTTTGTAACATTATAAAAGTCTTTACTGTCACTTTTAATCAGTTTAATATGTCCTTGCTGAATAAAAGTTTTAACTTTCAAAGTTATTTGTACTTTTAATGTACTGTATGTCACTTTGGACAACAATAAAAATCTGC